ATCAATGCTTCATATATGCATGGTAGTCTGCTTAATGACCCCGTCTCCAGTCCTTTGTTTGTTTCAAGTTGTATTTGAGCTGTGTATGTATTTCATTTTGGTTTTGCTATGGGACTAGCAAAATGTAAGTTTGGGGGTGTGATAAGCGCCGCATATTGCATATTCAAACGCCCTTACTTGCATTAGTTAAGTCCGTTTATGGTTTATTTGTATAGATTATCTCCAATTTCCGTATTTTTGTGTATTTTCAGGTTTATCCTCCAAAATGAAGTAAAATGGAAGCTTTTGAAGGCCTTTTTGAAGATCAAGTCACTCCGAGCCTTTTTGTCTTTTGATTTCCAAGAGGAAACCGTCAAAAAGGGTTTATGAAAACTTCCTACAATGAAAAAGGAGTTAAAGATTCTCAATAAGCTAAGGATGAATGCATGAAGAAGAATTCGGAGCAGCAGAAGGAGAAGAGCATGCTGGTGCATTTTCGAGCGCTCGAAGCCCCCATTCGAGCACTAGAAATCTTGATAGTCTACTCCACGGATTACTTCGAGCGCTCGAAGCCCCTTCTTCGAGCGCTCGAAGGAACATTGCAGCCCACTTGTTCCTTGATTCCCTCAATTTTTGGTTCCCCTCTTTTATGGAGTGGTTGGAAATGTTCTTTTGGGGGGGGGGATGAAGCTCAGTTTTTGAGGGGTTTGGTGAGAGGATGTCTACAAAAGGAGAGGTAGAGCTTGGATATCATCATCATATTTCATTTTGCAAGATTTGTGGAGAGAGAAATGAGGGAGAAGATAGAGTTTTTGTGGCTACAAAGAGGGAGCTCGAAAATGGAGGTTGAAGGAAAGCTTCTTCCTTCCTCTAAGGTATCCATGGGTAACTAATTCTTCCTCTAGGGAGGTGATAAAGCCCCTCCCCCTTGTAAGCATGCTCTAGTATAGTTTTATTTTGGGGATTACAATGTATTTTCTATGGTCTTTTCATGACCAAGAGCACTCCATTGGTTATAATGGATGTTGATATTTATATGAATGATTTTTCTAAGTTGATTATTTTGCTCTAGGTAATGTCTTACATTAATCATATTGCTTATGCTTTCATGGTGACAATGGAAATAAGGTTATGAAATGGTTTAATGGCATGTTGATACGTGACTTTGATAGATCATTGCTTAGGAAAATCCTTTGATGGTGTATGCTTAATCTCTACTTTCATGTGCTTCATCATTTTTGTCAAGAACTTGATAATCTTTCATCCAAGTAAGTGTGTTTAAGTTGCATCCTAGTTTAAGTAGTTTAAATACATTCACCTTTGATGGATTATGCTTGTTTAAGGCTTAATGTACTTCTTGTTAATTATATGGCAATTATGTGTCGCTATATAATTCTTGACCATTATATATTGTTTATCCCCTAAATTAGTTCTATATCTAGCATGTGTAGAGGGATGGAGGCAGATTCACTTCCCTAGTTGTCTTTACTCATATTTTATCTTGCTTTAATTCTCGCAAGCTTTATTTTATGAACCTCACATTTTAGTTTTAGTGACAATCCAACAAATCCTTTATAAACCCCCTTATCATTCTAAAAGATGATCCTAGATACCTAAGTTGCCAGAAACTAGCAGTCCAAGTGGTTTGACTTACTCGACCAATAGCCCTATTTTACAGTGATTTGTGCTATTGCAAAACAGGTTGATTTATAATTGGTAATCGATCCGTCGATCAGTGACCCAGTTTTTATTCAACTCGGTGGGTCAGTGATGACTGAAAGTTGACCCGGTAACGAGTCCAAAATGCGGAAGCAAAAGATGTAAATGAGGTCTCTAGAGATATAACTCATCTCTAAGACACAAGAGTGACCCTCTATGAAGTCACGAAACTCAAGGAGAATGAAAAAGGAAATGAGAGTTAAAACGGGGCAAAATCCGTTAATTAAGGGTAAAATGGTCAATTCACAAATATAAAGAGAAAACTGACTCTAAACAAGTCAAACAAAGTGAATACAACATAATCTAATCACTTCACAACATTCCAAGAGTTCTAAGAACTTTGGCCAAGAATTCCCTAAAAACGTCATTTCCCAGTTTAAGCAAAAACTGACCCTATCTCACTAAAACATGAATAACTCTCACTGTGATTTGAATCTAAGAATGGAATTGGTACCATTGGAAATATGACTCAAAATCCTTGAATTTAGGCTCAAGAATCACCCCATTTGGCTTAGAAATGAAGAAGTTATGACCCTTTGAAGTTGGAACATCAATGCTGAAACAAAATCTGGAAGGCTGTGTGACCGATGGCCTATTTCGGTCTACCGAAACAACCTCCCCTTAAAAATATGATTTCAGCAAAATTTCTGTCCAGTTCGATCATCCAAAAATCCAGTTCGGTCGACCGAAACAGCCCTCATACACACAGCCTTCCAGATTTTGTTTCAGCATTGATGTTTCAACTTCAAAGGGTCATAACTTCTTCATTTCTAAGCCAAATGGGGTGATTGTTGAGCCTAAACTCAAGAATTTTGAGTCAGATTTCCAATGGTACCAATGCCATTCTCATTTCAAATCACAGTAGGAGTTATTCATGTTTTAGTGAGATAGGGTTAGTTTTTGCTTAAAGAGCACTTTTAGGAAATTCTTGACCAAAGTTCTTAGAACCTCTTGAAATGTTGTGAAATGATTAGATTAGGTTGTATTTATCTTGTTTGACTTGTTTAGAATCAATTTTCTCTTTATATTTGTGAATTAACCATTTTACCCTTAATTAACGGATTTTGGCCATTTTAACTCTCATTTCCTTTTTCATTCTCCTTGAGTTCCGTGACCTCATAGAGGGTCACTCTTGTGTCTTAGAGATGAGTTATATCTCTAAAGACCTCATTTACATCTTTTGCTTCCGCATTTTGGACTCGTTATCGGGTCAACTTTCGATTCATCACTAACCCACCGGGTTGAATAAAAACTTGGGTCACGACAATATGTGTCCGAGTAGGGATTCTTTCTCTTCCTATAGAGAGCTGAAAGGTGGTTCGATTTTGACGGCAGACAGGAAAGCTTTCAAAATTTTGGGAATTGGAACAGTCAAGATCAAGATGCACAATGAGTTGATGAGAACATTGTCAGATGTGTGACATGTACTGGATCTGAAGATGAATCTTATTTTAGTAGGTGTGCTAGACTCCAAAGGTTACAAGGTTATAACTGAGGGTGGAGAAATGATGGTCGTGATAGATTGTCTTGTAGTGCTACAAGGCACCAAGGTGAAAAATTTGTATCTTCTTCAAGGGAATACAGTAATAGGAGGAGCTTCTACAGGGTCTTCTACAGCTAGCAGAAATCTGCCTTTAGGTTTTGGCAAAAGAAGAGTTAAAAAGAGGAGTTATGATCATAGTTCTCAAAAAGGTTGTAAGGGGATTGCACAACATGGTGGGAGAATGAAATCCGTTTTTAGATGGCAACCGAAATTGCAGCAGTCTTTACAAGGAGGCAGACCCATGAGGACATGTGTGATATTGACTTGCAATAATCTTGGTGGCAATGAGATAGTCCATTCGAGTGCCATTAAGATGCGTGAGAGGCAAGTAGTTGGTCACAACAGAGATGTGAGGAAAAGTCAAGGACGTCCTATTCTCCATAAGGGTGAGAAGATGACTTTTCACTACCAACCGGTGGTTTGTGGACGGTTAGAGAAGGTTGCTGAAGGAGATGTTAAACTTGAAATTCCTGAGATTGCTTTTGGAAAGCATTTAGAGTTTGGCACAAATACTGGAGGTATGCTTGTGGCTGTACAAGACATGCATGGGTTGAAGAATAAAAGCCTAAGGGTTAAGTTTGAGGATGACTCAAACTTAACTAAAATTCTTAATTAATTTGTTTTGTGGAGAAGACAGGTCGTTTGACAGAGATACAGTGGCTCATTCGGAATTTTCGCCAAGATGGAGATTTGTTAAACATGTGGCTCAAATGAGGTCAGCAATTGCATCACCCATTGTGTCATCATCAACTTGCAAACCAAGGTGAGTGATTAACAAGTAGGCGTGGCCAGTAAGTTAGGAAAATGTCAGCAGTTGCAGTCTTTGTATATACTTGATGACCAAGTATTTAGGTGACCCATTTTTCGCTATAAATAGCCTTTAGTTCACCTGGTTTATGGCATCCAAATCATCAATTCATAGTGAGCTTGTAATATCAGTTGGAGAGTGAGAGAGTTTGGATGTAATTTGGATTTTGAATGTGAGCTACTTTGCCTTATATCTCTTTATTTCCATAGTGAAATATTATTCTGTCTTCTCCCCGTACAAGTAGGCATAGTCAAATCACGTAAATCCTTGTCTTGTTTGTGTGTGTGCCATTTTTATTTTTCTTGTCATTATTTTTCTCTTGTTCTCGTAACCTCCTATTCGATCTTTTTTTTCATAACAATGGATTATTCTTAGGATCCATCACAGCAATCTAAGTTTAAGAACATTATTAGTTAAGTCCTCAATTTTATGTTTTATTGAATATGCGGGCTCACCCAATTTGATTGGCTTCGCTGATGAAGGGCAGCTCTAATCGGTAAGATTGAGGAGTAAGAAAGAGGGTGAGATAAATTGAGAGAAAAGGCTGTGGGTACGAATTTTTATTTTGAAATTTGAGTTAAATTTTTGAAATTTAATTTCGGATTGAGTTAACTTGAAAGATTTTTTCATTTCCATTGACACACATTTAAAGTTAATTAATATTAAATTATGTTAAGCTCTCTCACTAATAAGCCTTTGTTTGATCTCGTAGAAAATTCCAGAACATTAGTGGCAACGAAATTGTTCAACATATGAACCGGAAAATTGAAAGCTTAAATATTTCTCATATGTGTGTGGGTAGGTATTTACATTTCAGTAATAAAATGGGAACCGTAATTTAGTCAATATTTCACATTGATAACCCATTTCACCAATGTGAAATGAGAAAGCAGTATTCAGGAAAAAAGAAAATGACAAAACAAAGCCACTCACCATGGAGGATAGCTGGAATTGAGCAAAACAGGAATGAATTTTTTTTACAAGTTCATGTGCTTGTCAGAACAATGTAATATTACACAAGTGACACGAGGTTATGTGAAATTAACCCTTTAAAATTCTCACAAAGTTCATGTCAGGAGGACTCTCTACTATTGAGGAATAGGCATATACCATAGAGTGGTAAAAATACGAGCCTCACGCAGAAATGACCTTACCTCAAGCACATTTTCATCAACTGGAGGACCGTCTGCGGCAACAGTAATGGAGTGATGTGAGGCGGCATCATAATCATACGAGTTTGGATCCTTCTCATCGTCCTTGTAAACCAGACTAACCCCACACTAGTTCACCCACAAGTTTTTAGATGGGGTAATCTTGCTTATTGTTATCTCCACTTCATCTCCACCGTCCAAAACACGATTATGCAAACAACGCCAATCTTTCTGGTTTAGTACATAGGAGAGCCACATCTGATCTTCAAAACTTTGTTGATATTCGTATTTTGGATGATCGGTAACAACTATTTCTCCACGGAATGGAAAAGTATACTTCTTGGTTCTATTAAAAACCTCACAATAAAGCTCAAAACGGCAATTATGTCGATCCCAGCAGCCAGAAAAAGCAGCACAGAGAATAAACCCTTGTATTATCTGGCCCACGAGCTGAGGCACCCAAAAACATGTAACATTTCCATCACTCTGGTAGTTGCACCACCTTGGAATCTCACTCCCACGAACAACAATATTATACTGACTTTTTTCTCGCAGTCCCTACATTGGACCCATGAGCTCAGGCTTAATTGATTTCTAATACTACATATAGAGAGAGAGAGAGTAGCGTACCGGAAATTGGAGTACATTTCTTCTAAAATTATATGCAAAATTGTTGTTGACTAATTTGGGACAACCGTAACAAGTAATGAATACTGCTTCTGCTGCTCTTGATTCCATTGGTATGCTTTGCAATGATGAGCAGTAGTGTGCACTCAATCCCAATAAATTTACTGGAAGTGCTGGAATCGATTCAAGCCAACTACATTCATTTACAAGAAGGACCTTTAGTAGTGGAAGGGTAGAGATGGTAGCTGGTAGATTAGAAAATTTGTTTCTGCGAAGATTCAAAACTTGCAAGGACATCAAACTACCAATTTCGCTGGGCACGTGTCATATTGCAGTCTTCCATTGCTAATTTCCTGATGCTACTTGATAACCGTAACGAAGAAAAGCTTGATACAAGCGGCAATCTTTGTAAATATGTTGGCCAATGTAATTTGGAGCAGCCCGACAGATTGACATCAGTGACAGACTTCAACATGAAAATGCTCAGGGGAATCTTCTCAAGATTCTGGCAGTTATTCAGATCCAAAACAAGAAGATTATTCAAACATCCAATAGAATAGTGAACCACTACCAGATTTGTACAACCATTAAGCAACAATTCCTCAAGACTGCTGAGCCCTGTGAAGTCCGGAGTTTCGATCAAGAAATAGGAATGACTGAGATTGAGGTATTTCAATTTGCACAAAACCTGTCAGGAACAGAAAGAGACGATAAATATCCATGCATCTCATTCTCTAATTAAGTAAGTTTGAAGGATATGAAAACAGTAGAATTGTCTTACCTTAGTTCTTTCCAAACTTGTTTGAGGTTGCTATAGCTCAAGTCGATAGCAACTAGATTATCCAAAATCAAGGTTGATGGTATATATTTTAAAGAAAATCCTTTCCAAGATAGCCATACAAGTCTTTTAGAGATATGTTTGCAGCTTCCACTTAGATGGACATAATTGAGATGAAGCAGTCTCAACCTCTCCATCTTTGAAAACGCCTTTGCATTTAGTTCTACCTCCTCTGATTCTGGCAAGTTCAGGGCTAAGCCTTGAACTGTTTTTGTCCCCTGGTGAGAATAAAAAGCTGCAAATATAAGAATATATATATATAACATTGTGTTGAAAATTGGGTCACATCCCAGATTGTGTGATTTTCATTGTGTGGTGTGCTATGGTATTTTTTACAGTCACAAGATATGTAATTAATTTAGGCATTGGTCTCTTACCGCGTCATTCCTCAATACAGTGAGAATGTCTTTATGATACCACAATCTAGTACGTTCGCCAGGCTCTTCAAGAGATTCTTGCCGGACAATTTCTCTAGCCATGTCTTGAATCAGACCATGCATCACCAGCCGGTTACGCCCATCAATGCTTACAAGACAACGACGAGATAGAATCCCAATTCCAGATTTTGGGTAGAAATCTTCTAGTATTTTGATTGACAAATTTTGGTCCATTCCAACAAAAAAGCATGCAATATGTAGGAATAAACCCTTTCGTTCAATGTCAAGTGAATCAAAGCTCAGCCTAACTTTTCCATGAACATCATTGTGAGGAATCTTTTTCAACTTGTTTAATTCACATTCCCATTCAAGAATGGTTCTGTACGACAAAAAGCAACCTAAAATTTGAAGAACTAAAGGAAGCCCCTTAGCATAACTCACTACTTCCTTAGAGAGCATCTCAGAGTTTTCTACAGGATGGTCTCTCCTAAAGGCATAACAACAGAAGAGTTGAAGAGATTCCTCCATATTCAACTCCTTAGGCTCATACACCTCATTCACCTTATCCAATCGAAGCGAACTTAATGACGACAAATCTCTGGTTGTTATTATGATTATACTTCCAGGATGTAACGAATCTCGATTTATGGCCAATGCACTCAATTGGCTGATGTTATCCACATCATCCAGAACAAGAACACTTCGACCCCATGCTCTCTGTTTTATCAGCACAATTCCAATATCCTTGCTTGTTATTTTCCGATTTTCATTCATTAGGAGATCACAAAGAAGCCTTTTTTGTAATTCAACAAGGCCTTTGGATAGCATAGAAGTTTGTGCAACATTTTCAAGAAAGCTACTAGCATCAAACTCACGGCTTATGATATTATACATGGCTTTAGCAATTGTAGTCTTACCTATTCCACCAATCCCCCATATGGCAACAATCCTAACATCATTTTTTGCCCGCCTCAAGTTTAGAAACTCACTCAGTTGTTCAACACGATGTTGTATTCCAACTGGGTATTCCGCAACATTTAAACATTCACGATTTAAATTATCTGCGACTTCTTCAACAACAATCTCAATTAACGGTGACTCACACCTGCCAAATTATAATTATTTTTTTTTAACCGTTTAGGGGAGAGAGAAAAAAAAAAAAAAAAAAAAAAAAAAAAATGGGAACTAACCAATTTTTACATACAGATAAGTGGAAAGAGGAAAATAAATAAGTAATAAAATTGGTAATGTTTTAGATTGGTTTTTTGAAGAGAAGAAAGAGATCATTAAGTACCCGTTGGCCACATTTTGCAGGACGTGACCGGACAAATGGCTAGCCTCAGTTAGAGCCGACCTCCATTTCTCCACCGATTTCAAGTCGAACTGCATTCTGTGACTGGGATTTGGTTGATCGAATGAATAACAACCCTTCTGTTTTCGAACATCGGAGGCTTCACCGTCATAAAAGATGGGAATAACAATCTGATTGAGTGTCCTCTTGCAATCCATGATCTTCACAAGCTCGTCAAGGCACCAATCTGAGGACGTGTAGTGTTTTTGAGAATACGACAATGGAAAGCCTTGATTGCTCGATTGCTTTGAGCAATCCGGGACCAATTTCTTCTCCTCTTCTGAGCCCATTGTCATCCATGAATGTGTTAAAATTCTTCCGCTTCAAAGCCGCCAAGAGGTGGCCCATGAATTTCTTGCGACTATCAACACCGCTTAAAGACAAGAACACACCCTAAACACAGGAATCTGCCATTTCCAGGAGAGATCAGAATATGAAGGGAAAAGTTGGGTTTTTGTGCTTGAGGTGAGGAATAACGTTGACTTATTGAGAACACTTGGCATAATTCTATTCTATCTGGAATATTAGTGTTTGATAAAAGTATAACAAAAAATTTAAACTAAAAATTATTTTTTAAATTTATAAAAACACCCTTTAAAATCACAAAAATTATATTTGAGAAAGAGGAGTGAGAGTTTGAGATTAAAGGGTATTTTTGTCATTTAAAAAATAATTTTTCGTATAATATTAAATAGTAAGATTAAATTTACCATTTCATAACTCGATTAATAAGTCAATATTCACTTTCTAAAAGTGCATGTGAGAATTTTTAAAACCAGATTAAAGTACTATGATCAAAATTTAAAAGTAATGAGGGGTTTATAATTTTACCTCTAATAATAATGTACCCATTCGTAACTGAGAAGTATATGTGAGTGATTTATATTTAACAGAGTGAATTGTATTTGTACACTTGAAAGAGTCAATAAAACAACTCTCTCTCTCTCTCTCTCTCTCAAAGTTTTTCCCTTGGTGTTTTTGTTTGTGTTAATTTATATTTGTTCTTATATTTATGATGGATACAGAAAATGATTTTTATTTTTATTTTTTATGGAGTAGGTATTGAATAAGAGAAACAACACAAGGTTGATGCTGAGGATACACTTTCAGATAAATTTAAATAAAGATTACTTTTCAAAAAGGAAATTTACCAATCCCAAATGGTTCCCTCACTCACATGGGAATATATTTAGCATTGTCTTCTATTCAATATCAATAATCATGATTATTGATAACTGATTTGAGATTTAGTTTTAGACCCTATTTTACCTTAGTAATTTCAGACAAATAAACCTAACTTGTCGCAATATCACCACTCTTTAATTTACACTTTTGGTTGTTTGCTGCATAATAGTTGTATAACCTATAAATTACAAAAATATATTTAGTAGAGATTGGAGAAGGCATATGTGATTTAGGAAAAATATTTTGGGTGGATAAAGAGTGTGTAATCATGGATGAAGGAATTGTCAGGAGAAAGGATGAATTTTTTTCAAATGTGAAGTCACTTTGACTTTTTGGCTTAATTAAGTGGGAAAAGACTCAAATGACCATAGCCACTGTGATGACTCTTGCCTATATGTTCCTAGCTATGTCAAGTGTTATGGTTGCAAATGAGTTGAGTTCAGGGTTGAAAGTAACTTAACCCATAAAATATATATATATATATATATATATATATATATATATATTTTACTTGCTTACTTTGTTAAGAAAATAGATCATAGTCAATAAAAGGGTATTAAACTTTCTGAAAGAACACAATCGTATCATAATCTATTATTGTTCAAGATTATCTCATTTATATATATTAATGATATGAATTTTTAAATTGATGGAGTCACTAACCCTATAAAAAAATTGAATTATGACCTCATGTGAGGAAAAATTACACTTTGCGTGTCTCCCAATAATTTTACACTTTGCCCACACCTTTAATATTTTTTTCAAATGTGAAAGAAAATAAGTATTCGTGGGAGTACTATATTGTAGGTATCCAGAATATTCAATAATTTTTATAAATGTGAAAGAAAATAATACCATTCGCCTAATGTGGGGCAGTCGAAGAGAGAAAGATAATTGTGAGATTTGAACAAGAATATGTTCGTGGAAGCTTACCCCCAAATATTATATCAAATCCCAAAACTCGTTTGACAATGCATTACTAATTTAATACCTTATCTGAAATGGATGTAATTGACAAGAAACCTACCTTTAGATATTTACTTATATAAAATCATTGAATATCAACTCCGAAAAAAAAAAAAGCTAGTTTGACAATGCATTAGTAATCTAATACCTAATCTGATATGTATATAATTGACACAAAACCAACCATTTGATATTACTTATATAAAATGATAGACCTATCCAAACTCATTTGAATGAGTCTTCTACTTTGGGAATCATAATAAACAAACCAACAACTTATTTTGCATATAGTGAATTATTTTGATTCTAAGCTTAGAAAAAACATAAGAGCTTACAATATGTGCTGCATCACAGTCATTTAAAAACTGGCCCAGAAATTTGGTACCAAAGAAGTTATGTTTAACCTTCCACTCTACTTGGCTATATGAGCATGAACTTACTTTGACCTAAAACTCCCCATCATATTATGTGTGGAAACAGAAAGGAAACCTCTTATGCCATATCCTCTAAAAAGTGACTTTATTGGAGAAGCTTGTATCGATTAATTGGTTGGAATGGGTTGAAGCATATAGAGTGATTTCATTTTCTAAAAAATAATGATTAATGATATATAAAATTATCGAAATCTACAAGCTTTATTTATTCATCAATAGATCATTTATTAGGGAGTTGCTATTGTGTAGATATAATGGTTACATGTAGATCTCGATTGCAGAGAGACTCAACTTGTATATTTGTATCTCAAAAGATTGAATAAAATTTTATATATGCAAAAGTAATCAATTTTTGGTCAAATTTTCTTTATAAAATTATGTATTTAAATGTAATCATTAATATGATTTAAACTTTGCACTAAATAACGTCAATACTTCTTTTTAAAATAAAATTTGAATTTTTCTTAATAATTATATTATAATATTATTATAGAAAAAGTTACATTTTGATGTTCAGAATTTGTTTAGAATGTATACTTCATCAAATTATCTTAAAGTATTGGATATATACATAAAAAGGACGGATACTTATTTGATATACAAGACATGCATCCAAAAGTATCAAATAAAGTATCCGTCCTTTTTAGGCTTGGACTCTGATGGCTCAAAACTGAAGTTTAAACTTAACTTAATTTGTTTCAATTTATGTTTTTTTACTACTTGTTATTTCACATTTTCACATCATTCCATACAAATTTTTTTTTATTTATTTATTGAAACTTAAATTCATTTTTTTTTTAATTTTTTTTTTTATCATCATTATCATTTGAAAGGCACAAAGACCAAGCCAAAGTGAAACTTATAACGATATACAAATCATGAAGCAAAATAAGAAAAATGAAGAACAAGCTCCAAATTTGGTGAGAAAGAGCGACCATTCTAGAACAAAAACTACCAAGAGAGAAAAGCAGTGACTGGAGTGACCAAAGGTCACGCCATCATCAAGGCAACAGCTCCAAAATTGCATCCACAAGGCGCCTCCACACATCTAACCCCGCACAAGATCTAATCAAGCCGAGGAAAACAAAAATCAACCTGGGTCAGAGATCTAGCCGGAGGGAAAACAATAGATCCACTCTATCGAGCCAGAAACAACCCAAATAAGAGCGGATCTAGCACACAAAAACAAAAATCGACTTAAAAATCACCAACAGGGTGAACTTAATGAGATACGCCGAAATTATTAACCTATGAGAGACAAGGAAGAGCACCTCCCCACTCCCATGAAAGGGAGCAGGGAGCAAAACAGAATGGGGACGAGCGGCCGATAGAGAGAAAGGGTAGAGAGAGAACAAAGCAAAAGTACTTAACTCCAAATTGCTCAATATAAAATTACACTTATACTTGTTAAATAATTAAAAATTGCATAAATTAATTTAAAATTCTTCAAATCAGTGAGGGGTAATTGCTAGCGCGATTGTCCCTCCATTCTGGTTACTTTCTAATTTTTTGAAGCATTAAAAACTTATTTATTTAATCCAATAAAGAAAATTTGATTAGAGAATGAAATACTACAATAATAATATAGTAGTAGGAAATAGTAACATTCAATAACTAAAAATCTAATTAGAGAATGAAATATATAATGTTAAAAAATTAAACTATGAATTGAAATTTAATAAAAGAAAATCTAATTCGAGAAGAAAATATATAATATAAAAAAATATGTTTATTTAATTCAATAAAAAGAAATCTAATTAGAGAATGAAATACTAATACTAATAATAATAATAATAATATTGTAGTAGGAAATGCTGAAATTCAATAAATGAAAATCAGAAAATATAGGCTCTGCTTGTAACTCTGCAAATATTTTTCTGATTTTTAGTTATTTGAAAATCAAAAGAAAATTGCTAAAAACTGATTCATTTTTATCTGAAAATTCAGTTATAAAAAAGTATGTTTTCAGAAAACTGTATTTTATAAGTCTCTAATAACAGTTTTTGTTTTCAGAGCACTTAAAAACTGTTTTCAAAATTTTTGTGTTGACAAATTTAAGTGTCAAAACACATTAATTGAATTGTAATTTTATATTTACTTTGAGTTTGAATTTTGAAAGCTGAATGATAAGTTATTAACATAAGTTCAATGACTATCAATTAAATTTGAATATCATTTAGAAGACATAAATGAGTGAGAGAACATTGAGTTGGGTGGGTCATGAAACAATACCAACGTGGGGTGTTGTGGTAAATCAATTTGTGTCATGTTTGTAATATTTTAATATCTCACTAGTTTCGAAATGATCCTTATCTAGTTAGAAAGTAGACTTGATAATCTTTCCAATTATATATTATTTACTTAATTTCGAGTTTGAAAACCGATTTATAGTATAAGGGTTAAGTGCAAAATACCCCCCTTAATGTAGAGACTTTGTGCAAAATTGGTCCCTATTTTTTAAAAAAGTGCATATAAATCAACAAAATTCAAAAAAAGTGTATAACCGATCCTTCTGGCAACTTTTTACAAAAAGTAAAACTAAAAATTCCGTTATCTTTTGTTTCTCATTTTACCCCTCACCATGTGTGCATAAAAGGACCCCCACCCTCCTAAACCCAATTCATCTCTCTCTCCCTCTCCCTCTCCCTCTCCCTCCATGTCTGTTTCAATTCTTTCGGCCGTAAGAATAGTTCCTCGATGTGAGATAGATACACACACACACACACACACATATATATATAAGTATAAAATGGTGCATCCCCATTGTGTGTGTATTTAACTAAAGTCAGCCGCAAAAAAGAAGAGGATGGCCGTCGCGGAGAGATAGTCGTCGAAGATTATGGCCGTCATAGAGGCCCTTATCGCCGCCGATCCAAGGATGGCCGTCAGTACGTTTGGAGCTCACCTGAATTGGGT